ACAATGTCCATTGTTTTCTGTATACAATAATTTAAGTGTTTTTACCATAGAGACTCTATATCTATATCTACTTCTATCTGTTCTATCAAAAATGTATACACATTTTAGCAATTTGTCATACTAATAATATCTCGGAAAGCTAATGCCCACCAATTTGAGCATCTCTTGTAAAGGACAAAGGTAACTTGTATTTATCTCATGATGGCTCAGTAAATTTAGTCCTAAAATATTTATGCAAGTTTTTTCCTGATATATACATTTTTTGGTAGAAAAACCATGAATGTTAACTATGCTATGCTTTGGTTCTCATGAGTAATCTAAAATAACTGTCAGAATGAGCAAATAATTTAAGTAGAAATGAAATTAATGGTTATAAATGTCCATAACATCTGAGTCTTTTGTTGTTAGACTTAAATTCAAGTATTCATGACTTCATAAAGTTCATAAACAAACAATAGATTTTGAATATTTAAATGTTTTCATGCATTAATATGTATAAAGGTGTAAGATGCCTTCCTTAGACTTACTGAGTTAAAATTCTAATATATAATTCTATATTAACAATAACATAAAAATTCCCTTGACGAAGCCAAAAAAAGCCAAGCCCTTCCTATGAGTTGGTGCCATACACAAACCACCAGACAGAGAATAGATGCCAGACTTTTCTTGTGAGTCAGTGCATTTGTGGACTGTAGGGGAGGAGAACAAAGAAACCAACAAGAAGCCAAGCCCTCCCTGCAAGTTGGCACTGTGTGCAGGCCCATTGTGAGGAGAACCAGACCTAGCCCCTTCTGGTGCGCAGCCTGAGAGACAAGAAAGGCCAATGTCTCCCCCTCCCCCACCAAGTGACTAACTGACCCAGAGAAACACAGTCTGCAATGATGGCTGTTGAGGTAGAAGACAACTTAACACTTGTAGTGTTCAGTGTTTCAACGACTTTGCAGGTCTAAAGCCAGTAGTCTGAGTATCTATTTGCAGGATAACAGGACACAACGTAGCATCTATGGAGCATCTCCTTCTGAAGGTGGTAGCCATTGTAACTTCCCTATTGTCTGGCTTTGAAGTACTGAATAATCTTCATTGTTTTATTTGGTTGGGTTTTGTTCTGGTTTGTCTTATTTGATTTTGTTATGTCTGATGGCATGGGCAGCTATTTCAAAGGTAGCAAGACATGTTATGGCAGCCACTTTGGACTTACTATTATCTTGTTTTGAAGTCCTTTATTGCATTTATTGTTTTGTTTTTGTTGGTTCTATTCTGTTCTGTTTTGTTTGATTTTACTATGTCTGAAGATATGGGCAGCCATTTTGAAGACAAGAGGCATTATGGTAGCCATTGCTGATTCCTATTATCTTGGTTTGAAATCTTGTGTCACACTGCTTTGTTTTGATTGGCTTTATTCTGTTTTATTTTGCTTTGTTTTATTCTCTTTAAAATAAAAATTACAAAAAAAAAAAAAAAAAAACCCAAAAAACAAATTCCCTTACCTGGCTGGTCCTGGGAGCTGTGGAGCTGTGAGGCAAAACAGCTCTCTGAGGTCAGAAAAGCAGCTTCTTGACGTACTCTGCCTTGGTTTCTTTGCTGATGGGTGGCATCTTTGGTTTTCTCCAGGTTTACTGTTCCCCACTCCAACATATATCATTATAATTTACTATTACATACAATGAATTTAGCTTTAATTAAAAGGTCAAAGAGTTATCTATATCTAAAACAGTACATTTTTCTTAAGATATTAAAATGTTGATTAAACTTAAAAAGGAAGGAGAGGGAAGGGAGGGAAGGAGAAACAAAAGGAATCAAAATGTGTCACATACATATGTCAACTCCCCACAATGAGTGTCAGCGTTGTGTAGTGCAAATACACACTAATAAAAATGCTAAAAATCTACTAAAAAAAAGTTTGCATTTTTTCAAGATAATTTTATGTGTTTTATACTGTTAGGCGTTTGGTTTCTAAAAAAGTGAGTTTTAAGAATAAAAGATTATTCAAATTTTGACTTGTAAAATGTTTTCAATAATTAGTTTAACTGGTTAAACTACTATTATCTTTGTTGTAGCACACCCTAATTACATTTAAATATAAAATATGTTGTGAGTCTGAGCCTTTTAATATTAGGTTTATGGACTTAAGATTACATAAGTTTAATGCATGCAAAATAACTAATACGTGTTCTTATTTGTACAATATACATTGTATCTGGATCTTACACATAAAAAATGATCAAAATTGATGGCATCTCTGCTCTTCAAATTTGGTACAATCTCATCCTGCTATTTAAAACGTGACCTATATATACTGACTTTGACTAAACAAGTGTTTTATTATTGCATAAATACTTATAAATTTGGTCAGAGTCTATTTGTGGTCATAAATGCTGTTTCCTAAACTTGTAGGAAGTCTAAAGGTATTTGTTGACTCATGTCATTGTTATTATATAATCTGTTATAGTAATCTGAATTTTGCCTGAAGAGTAAAGATTAATTTAATATATGTAAAACATTTGTATATAGCTGTATACTAATTATTTCTAACTTCTTGAAATATTAAGTGTGTGTATGTTCTTCAAGTGTATAAACCTCTAAAATACAAAATTTAGGAAAACGTCTTACCAATTGTGGTGTCTTGAAGCAAAATTTTTTATAATAAAAGACTTTTTCAGATTTATGCTTATGTGTTCTTAATTATATTCTAATAATTAGATGTGCCTAAACCCTATGCAGTTCAAGCAGCATCATTTTAATAATTAATCATGTATGAAGTATATTGGTAAATAAGTACATTCTGCTTTAAAAGGCATTTCATTTTTTTAAAAATGCAAATTTAGGTGGTGATGTGTTTATACCACTTAATATTTTGTAATTGAATAAATTTAACCTATTGACAAATTATTTTACATGGAAGTGAGAAATTAAATTATTTTTAGAGATAAAGAATAAGAAAGAGAACTTAATGGTGCTAGCATAATATCAGAATTGTTATCCTAAAATTCTATGCTTGCTGTTGATTTTAAAACTTCCTTGTACAAATTTGTAACTCTTATCTGTTAACATTCTACAGAAATGTGACTTCTGAAAGACAGCTTAAGCACTGGACCATCACCTACAGCACAGAGAACATGTGATAACGGCTCCTGATACTAATGCTGACCATGAGTATAGAAGGGGAGGCTATCCAGCCGTATTCTATATTTTGAAATTCCAGATAGAATGTTAGTAGTTAAGATTAAAACCTACAGCTCTCACTTCAAGATTTACGGTATACGCACCTCCTGGGTATTCAACTGAGATTCAGAGACCAAAAGCTAAGACAGCCAACATTCTGGCCTTTACAGCAAAATCGGCCAGTACCCAGAGCACGAGGGGATCCTTATGAAAAGATCCTGCAACTCTGGGAAGTCACCCAATCTCCCAGCAGGGGGATGGTTGGATGCCAGAGAACAGGAGTCAACACATGTGCATTTTATAAAATAGGACAGTCACTAAAGAGAGAAATGTCCCCTGCTTTAAGAAAAAAAGTCGTATGATCAAATAAGACCGTGATCCTTCCTGGTAAATGACACGGTTCCTCCTAGGGCTCTGAAAGCAGCCTTTGAGGGGCCTTAACTGACCTTTTTTAAACTTTGACTTGGTCTTAAACAGCCACCCAGCAGAGGAAAGTATAACACAAATTAAAATAACAGTAATATTAACCAAAAAGCTAGGTTAGATAGAAAAATGGACTCCAAACTGCTCCAGTCCCTACTAACTGTCCCCAGCTATACGTGTAACATCTCAGCTCACAGCTGTAAGAGACCAGGATTCCCAACCCTACCAGCTCTTCAAAACTATACCCTTCAGCCCCTCTTAGTATCTAAAATACCTTCAAACACACCTCAGGCCAAGAGTTAGCTTCTTGTGTAGGTGTGCCTATAAAATTAACAATTGACAATAAAACACTCTAGCTACTAAGCTTTGTTACTTTTGTGGTAGGAACAAATTTTGTGTTATCTATTTAAGATTTTATATGTATATATAATATATTATCTGGAACTGGTCATTATAAAAGGTCTCCAAAATAGAGACTGTTAGGTTCTAAGTCCTAAGGGAAGAAAATGAGTGGCTGAGTAATCACAAAACTATAGACATCTTTACTTAGTGTATTCTCTGCCCATTGTTATAATTAAAACAGGAGGGCTTCAGGTTTCTTAAAGAACAAAAGGGAAGATTCTCCATGCTCTGAAACTTCGCTTGCTATTAACACCTCTGGACAAATCGGTTAATATAAAGAAAAAAGGCTTTTGCCAAATGTTGCCTTTTTTTGGAGTCATTTTGTTCATTGGCATTTTATTTTTAATTTTTAGTGCCTGCTTATTTACATGCTTATAAAATGGAGCCCAAGTGTCAATGACTTACATATGCTCTTGTCCTCTTTTCTAGACTATCAAATCCATGTTCCTTTGTCTCCTTAGGTCACAGTGAGACTTTTGATCCGAGGCTGAGGGCCAAGTTCCTCCTCCACCTGAAGCAGCCTGGGAAGGCAGACCTAGCTAGGACCCTCCCTTCAATAAGGGATTGAAGTTTCTGGGGGTTAAATGAAGTGAATTGGAAAAAGAAAGACAAGTAAAAAGTAGACAAAGAAGACCACAATTTAAAAAATAAAAACTGCAGTTGCAGGATGCTGCCCAGCTTAAAAAGTGTTTTTCTTCCTATATTTTTTCCTCCCAAGACACAAATAAGACCAGGCAATTCCTTTTTGCCTACATATGCTCTTTCTTATTCCCTTTTCACTTGTTAAATAGAACTTTCCTGTGCATGAACCTTCCCTCTTGCCCTTGCAGCAAGAGATGTCACCTTGTACCTAAAAACCAAACTCCCCCTTTCTATATTAGAAAGTTCTCCTGTTGTCTGCCCCTAAATCTCCCACAAAAACACCAGTGTTAGACTATGATGCACCTCACGGTCCCTCAAGGGTCCACACTCTTACATCTTCGAGTATATCTTATACCTTTAAAATTCTGCCTAATAAATTCCTTTGTGCTTATTGACCCGAAATTTTTTTTTTCCTACAGGTAGAGTGGGTTTAGGTTCCTCATCTCCGGAATCTCCCAGAACCCTGCCAGGCAGGACAGCACCAAGACCTGGGCCAAGCCCACTGCATCTCTGGCTCTAGGAAGGATGTCGCTTTACACAGATACAAAGTCGTTTCCTTTTCTCCTCTGCCCTCTTCTTGTCTCAAATTATATGGTGTCCCTCCTTCTCCCCTACCTCTTCTAATGTTTTCTCTCTCCCCCTTGCAGAAGAGGAATTCAGGTCTTCAGTACCCCATCAGCTCATTTTGTGATGTGAAAGCACCAAGCAATGAAGTCCAGGGACATGGGCTGGTTCCCAGCCTGGCTGCTCAGGGCAGCTGATCATGAGCACATGGTGGCTGCTTCTGTGGGTGTCCCTGCCTTGGCTCCCCGGGAGAGTTGGGGAGGAGAGGCTGAGGCCAGAGCAGTGATGGGGAGACGCTGTGAACACATGTGTGCCAGGTCAGCCACGGGAACCCTTTGTTCCCTCAAGAATCTGAGGGCATCAGGCACTGGCACAAAGAACTTAGCAAGAGGGAAACAAAGAGATAAAGATGAGCAGATAGAAATAAAGACCCTGTGGAAGACAGAGAGAGAGGTGTGTATCCGAGGCTGAACATCGAGGCAGCAGCATGATTGGAAACAAGACCAATAGTCCCCAGGGTGGGAGTCATAGAGAGCCGGGGACAGGAGGAGAAGATACAGAGGTGGTGAGGGTCCCTGCACCCCGGGCCCTACTGCCTCGGGGCAAGCCAGATGAATGGCTGAGGCTGGACCTGGAGGCATTCTATTTTCAATGCCAATTCAGGATGAAGCAAACAGAGAAAGGCTTTACCCACCAAACCCAGAGAGCCCACCTGCAGAGAAGGTGCCTCTGAGAGCTGGGGCAGCCTCCAGGCTTCTCAGGCAGGAGTGAGTATGCCAGCTGAAAATCCTGGAGCCCAGGAGATAACACTAGGGATTATTTAGCATGCAGACACACCTTCAGAAGATTTCCTCTTTTTTCCTTCCTAGCTGCGGGGAGTATCACTCAGGCTACAGGCACCTCTGGATGAACACAGAATCTCAGCAAATGAAGATCTGCCGGAGTGGTAAGTGGTCTAAACTGTCTCTGAGAATTTGGAGTGGAATTGGAACTGTCTCTAGGACAGAACTCTAGTCTCAGGGGTGTCAGGCCAGGCATGACCCCTGAGGAGGTGAAGTATCCATAAGAGGGTGTAGTGACCCTTGCCGTGACGCCCCTGGTTGCCTTTGGTTACTTCTGCAATGTCTCCTCCATGGGTCCCATCTCCTGTGAACCTCAATATCAGTATCTGTCTTCACTCCCCTTCATCATGCTGAACGCACATAAATCTTCACCATGATTTCCTCTGGCTCCACAGCCCCCTGTGCCAGCATTGCATGTGAATGCGTGAAAATCACCCATCTTCTTGCTGGCCTCCCCAACAGTGTGACTTAAGTCCTGTGATCTTCTAACCTTAACCCTAACTTCTCATGACCTGAGCAGACTGTAAGTACTTTATAAATATTTCACTGGCAGGAAGTCAGTATAAGGGTGAAAAGAATTTTATTTCTAACCTTGAAAGTTTAGTAATTTGAGTCTATAAAGCAAAATGACAATGGATTAACAGGAGAGAAGGAACACAAATGTATGAACACACACATGTAGGAAGGTCGCACCAAGTTTACACCCTAACAGCAAAGCCAGACAGAGGAAGCTTAAATACCCTGTTTCTAGGGAGCTAGGAAGTAGGGGCTGTGGACAGCCTTAGAGGGAGGGCTGTGGACAGCCTTATAGGGAGGGGAAGAGTTCTGACAGTGCGAATTTGCCTGGCTTTGGGTGTGGAATTGGCTCTGTTCTTCCTTCCTCAATATGGATTTAATCCTCCTTGGTTCATGAAATGACAGGGTTGGAGTAGAGGGTAACTGCTCTTTTTTGGTGGATCCCATCTTTCAGATGCCATATCCCAGGAAGCTTTATTTCCAAGCCCCTCTTCTCTGAGCCTCGGTTTCCTAATCTGAAGTGTGAACAGGAACAATCTCCAAATGGATAGTATCAGCAGAGATGAACTGAGCTGGCCCACGTGGTGTACTCAGCATTGTCTTAGCGCCATACAAACAGTTCAGCTCATGGTAAGTGAAGGAGAGCCAGAGTCTAACTGTAACAACCATCGGACTCTGCCCAGCAGCTCTGAAAAATGGGTCAACAACCAGCCAACCAGCAGCTGAGAGCTTGGATTTACAACCTAAGGAATACAGTGAAGCCAAGTAGAGCTGTCAGGTCCTTTGTCTTATTGGCTTGTTTTGTACCACAATCTTGGCTGGCTGTGTGGCACCTTCTTCCTGTCCCCTCCGTCCGCCACCCTCTGGTTGGCTAGACTCTCAGGTGCTGGGCTGACTCAAGCCTGGGGCGGCTGAAGTTCTCCACTGGGAACAAGACCCCAACAGTGGAATCCCTGGTGGCACCTGGAAGCCCCTCTTCCCCTGTGGTTCTGGATTTGACTCTGAGAACGTAGAGTCACTGTAGCAGTAATAAAGGCCCTTTCTGCCAGCAGGGTATCAGTGATGACTCTGGGTTCCCCGCTGTCAGAGGTGCCACAGTACTGCGGTGAAACGCCCAGCATGGAGTCCAACAACATCAACATGGACTTGTTGATTGTGACTTTGCAGGATTCTTTCTCTTGGCCGAGGAAAAAGTACTTAAGTTTCAGCATCAGAAAAAGGCGTACTTCCTCTAAACAAGAGTTTATTTTCATTCACGGACAGCAAAGCTCCTGCAGCATTTCCCCCATCGCTTGACTGTTGGGTAGTTTAGCATCAAAAATGCTGCTTCCTCTGCGTCCCAGGCAGACAGTTCCTGTGAGGTCCTCTAATTTATATTTTCCCGTTCCGGACTCCCTTCCACCCTCCCCTGGTTTTCCCTATTATTCAGGACCAAACCTGCCTGTATGAGGTTCACAGAATTATTTCCTGACACTCAGCAACCTGGGAAATGGCCTCTCTCTCTGCACCATTGTCTCCAGGCTGGAGCTGAACACTGTGGCGGTCAGCAACCTTTACAGCGAGGATTGCTTAGGTTGTATTTTCTACGTTCATTTAAAATCCCGCCTCGTTTATTTTCTTTGGGTCCCATGTGAGGCTGCGCTGACTTTCACAACTCTTTGTGGGACTCACTACCTAACGGTGAAGGGAAATTAAAGTCCATCGGTGGACCAGGCATGCGTTTGTGAAAACACAGTTTTCAAGAGAAACTCCGGACACTTCTCATAGCCCTTTCTTAAAGTGTCACCCGTCCCTCTCTGTCTTCCCTCTTCTTCCCTCTCCACACCCTTTCTTTCCTCCCTCCCTCCTTCCTGCCAGCCTCCTTTTCTCTCTTGCACCTTTCCCTTCCTTCATCCATGTGTGTCACTTGAGCAATGTACTTGTTTGATCGAGTGGCTTTATGATTCAAACCTCATAATTTTTACCCACAGAAAGGAGATTTAAAAATCTCACAGAATGATTGCGGATTAAATTGAATTATTCACTCTAAGCATTTAGCATTTTTCCTAACCTCCTATCGGAAGTGGGAAAAAGCTATCATTGTTCATTCAACAAGCATTTATGACGTAGCACATGCTAAATGCTGCACACCCCCAAGCATCTCTCCAGTAACAAATTGTTTTTCTGGGGGCACACAAACCACATACTGCTTTGGGGCCAGAGAAGTACTCATATTGTACTAATGATAAGTAGTTGTTAAAATTCTGGGAAAAGCTGGGGTCTTGCCACACTTTATCTTCTGGAAGCTGTCAGGAGTGTTCCTTAGTTTTTACTTTTTTTCCTCCCCCCATTTGGTGGTTCTCCCCTTCTTTTGCTTCCAAGACCCTCCTGAGGCATCTGCAGGGCCGTCTAACAAGGTGGTTCCTAGGACCAAATGCCCTGTCCATTACTAACTGCTGACTCTGATTGACCGCTGCTACCTCTATGCAAATCAGTCTAAAAGCAATGGATTTATATTTGCTGTTATATTGCCCACTTGCTCCCTGACAGTGGTGATGGCTCTCGTTTCTCCTGTGTGTCCGTGAACCTGCTGTCCCTCTGGCTGTCCCCAGCTCCAATCATTCTCCGTTCAGTGATGCCATAAGTGATTAATCTGTGGCTAGTTTCCTCCTGCCTTCCCCGGAGCCAGCACAGAGCCCATTCATCAAGATGAGCAGGTAATTGAAGCAATCCACCTCGTGTCGAGACCTCGCTCTGGGCTGAGATGCTGGCCTGGCACTCCGTTGGGCTCAGTGTAATTACTTTTTTCTGGTGAATCCTCAGGGCTCTCCAGCCTGCTGCAGAGCCCATCACAGAGAGTGGCTTGTCTGGAAATGCTGCTTCTCCTCCCTACCACAGGCTTCTTTGGAACCTGATCCTAGGTCAGCTTTAGCCATGGTCTTAGCCTGATCTGAGAAGTGTGGTTCCTGAAGAACCAGAGGGAAGGGCTCCTGCAACAGTCTGAGGAAGGGAGTTGGCCAAGAGGAAGTACCCGTTCTCCTGAGGCTTAGAGAACCGAGTAGGCTTCTGAGAGCGTTTATGGGAACTTCCCTAGAATGCTCGGGGTGGGGGTGGGAGGGGTGGAGGGGTGGGAAGCTGATTCTCTTCCCAGCTTTACCAGGAAACTGAACAGCCTGCTCCCACCTATCCTCAGTGCAGGAGCCTTTAGAGGTGGAAGAGACTGTAGCAACAATCTATTTAATCTCGTCCTCAATGCCAACCTTGTGATACTTTTTCTTGGCATTAATCCTTTCATTTATTCATTCACTTCACAGATTTCTATAGTTAGAGACATTGTATCTTCAGATCTTCACTGTCTCAAGTACAAAGTGACAAGATATCAGCTAGCTTCAAGACTGTCAAGTTTGTAAATCAATAAACATCACCTGTTGTTTGGGGTTATTCTGCCAGACAGGGATTGTGCTCAAGAGGAAGTAATCTTTTCCAATCAATCACTACCAACAATCACAATGAAACAGAAAGGTATAATCACTGTAACAACGATAACAAAACACTTCTGTGTGTGGTTTTGCCAATATACATACAATAAAGGATCCAAAACTTGGTACTAGAGGAGGTTTATGATCTCAGAGATAATTCACTGTGGAGACCCAGAGGACCTGAGGTAGTCTTTTGCCAGTGGAGTGCCTACAGTGGCTGCTTCACTCGGTACTCAAATTTTCCAAAATATGGCCCCAGTTTTATCTTCTGTCACGGGTTGCCTCAGACCTTTAACGGTTCTAAGCAATGACAGGACTATGGTGCTCACATCCGTCCTCCACAGAAGCAAATATGTAACACTGTTAAAAATTACAAGATAAGGAAGAATGCCTCTGTTCTGATTTTTCTCACAATGTCTTCTTGTGTTCTTTTAAAACATCAAATAAGAAATTATTAAACAAATATGTTGGTATTTCTGCCATTGTGTTTTGCCTTGTTTTTTCTTTTTAAGACAGGGTTTTGCTATGCAATTCAAGCTGAACTTGAATTCTCTTTGTAGTCGAATGGGCCTTGAATTTGCAGCGATCCTCCTGCCTCAGCCTCCCAAGTGCTTGGATTACAGTCTGCACCACCACACCTGGCCCCTACCACATCATCAGTGGGTACTCAGCACTGTCTCCTGTGCCCCTTTCCTAAGTCCCTGACACATCAGTCTGATCTCTGTCCCAAGAACAGGACTTAAGGGGCTGTTAGACTTCTTTTCTCTCTGGCTCTAGCATTTCTGCTTTTCATATAAAGGTTTGTTCAATTCTCAGACATACATCACTGCCAAGACCTTACCCAGACCATGGAAGCTTCCGCTGATTATTCCTACAGAGGAAGCTCTCCAAAGTGTCAAAGAAAGTGCCATCTACATAATTCAAGATGTGACACCTCTCACATTGCTATTTAATGCTTTGTTTAGTTTTTAAATGTTCCTTTACTGTTTTCCTAATGGGCTTATGAGCTTTCTAACAGCAGGGCCTGGGACTTCCATTTCTGTGTCTCTCCCCTGGGTACTGCTGGGTTGGTAGACAACGCTCCTGCTTCTGTAATGTTTGCTCCTTTAGGCAGCACCTTTCATTCAGAGGAATAAAAGACTTACTTTAGAAGAAAAATCCTCCAAATCTTTGAGATTATACTCCCCTGAGATGCTGCACTGATCATTACTTGTGTGTCAATGGAACAGTAAATTAAAAGGCACAATCAGACAACAATGAACATCAAAGTAAAAACATGAAACAAATATCTCATAAAAGCTCTTAGACTCTCTTTATGTTGCATCTCCTTCTCCCACCCAGTCTCTGCTCCTCACCAAGCCCTCCCTCTCCTTGAGAGACACTGAGCTAAGTCTTCGGAAGCTATCAGCAAAATATTGAAGTAATTCATCCATTAATGCCTCAGCTTCAATGATCTCATTAGCTTAGTCAACCCTTATCGGGCAGCCAGGAAGACAGTTGGCAAAGGCTGGGTAGACTTTTATGGAGAGAGGGAGTTGGAAAAGTCTAGAGTTTAAGATTCTGACTGCTTCTGGTACAGTTCTGCAGTCCGCTTTCCCTGGATTAGGGCAAGAAAAGGGAGGAAAACCACCAAAGGACATGAGAGATCCCCAAAAGACAAGGAGGTTCCTGATGCCAGGCACCACAGACAAGTGGCATGAACTCCAGGAAGTGACACCTTCACTGCCCATCAAGACAGCAGATCAGAAAAATAGGAAGCTGAGGCTGGGGATTTAGCTCAGCAGCATAAGCGCCTGCCTTGCAAGCAGACAGTCGTGAGTTCAATCCCTGGTATCGATAAAAACGAAAACCACAAAAAAAAAAAAAAAAAAAAAAAAAAAAAAAAAAAGAAAGAAAAGAAAAATAGGAAGCTGAGATGGTGCAGGTTGGCAGCTGGAGACCAGAAACTAAGTTGTAGGTGAGATGAGACAGGGAGAGAATAGAATGAGAGAGGACAGAACTTGAGGAAGGACGAGGATGAAAGTCTTTCTTTTGTTTTCTGGAAAAGGATGAGCACGCATGTAGCCAAAATGACTGAAGAGATAGGAAGTGATGCCAGTGGTAAAACAGGGGTTGCTAGGGTGGGATGGAATTGAGGGGAGGCGGGGAGGTATTAACCAGGGCAGGATGAGGGGGACGTCTCCCCGGAGAAGCAGGCCAGCGTCGTCAATTTTATAAAATGTGAGGACCTCTGTGAGTAGCAGAAGCCAACTTAAATATAAGTTAAAAAGATAGAAGCAAGCATGTGGCTAGCAGCCTGTGGACCATCCAGAACCAAGACCCCTCTGTGTTCTCATGTTCTCTCCCTGTCTGCCCCACAGGGTATCAGCTTTGTCCATTCGGTGGGGAAACAAGTCCACCACTAACTCCTATATGATTTAATAGCTGCCTTCAGGGAGAGAGAACGGATTGAGCATCTGTCCCCAGACCCAAAATTCTAGAGGAGAGTTCTCACTGGTCTGTGTAAGAGCCCACCCAAGGGTCAATAAGTGTGACTAAGACTGGGCACAGCAGGTGACACACAAGCCAGTGGCACCCTGCACAGTGACACCAACTGGAGGGATGGGCAGTTTTCACTGAATAGAGGCTCTGGTAAATAGAATAACAGGTGTCCAGGGAGGGATAGCTTGGAGAGAAAGAACAGTTTACAGGCCTTGATAGAGTCCTTTCGTTCATTTATAGGTTGTTCTCGTGAAGTTAAGTGCTCTACCAAGAGCAGAGGCTAGACAGGGTCAGAGGCCATAGCAGGTCTGCAGCTCCACCATGGGACATAAGGTGGCCAGCAGTCAATGAGCAACACGGAGATGCGCTTGAGGGGAGGTAACTGGGTCATTGGCTCGACCCCAGATTTATTCCCGTAGTGAACACTATTGATGACCATCTCAATCATCACCCAATGCTCTGGACACAGCAACATTCAAAATAAGCCGCTGGGCTGAGCCAGGGTTAGAGAGTGAAAATACAGAGGCTTCAGGTACAGTCAACACATGAGCAGAGTTGAGGGGAAGAGCGGAGGCAGGGAGAGGCCATTCCCCAGGGGAGGGCTGGGCTGAAGAGTCCCGGGAAGAGGTGGAGAGCTGGGGAGGCCATCTGGGGGAGCTAACAGACTGCTGTCTCAGTGGTGCCTATTTTGATGCCCGTGGAGATGAATCCTTGGGAGGATGAACGCATCTGGTCTGTTCAGGAACAATCTATATAGCGACCCATTGTGCCTCCTTACTGCAAAGCCTCAATGTGGAGGTTGAGTCACAAGGTTGGCCCACACAAGGCCAGGGCAAAAGTGATGACCAAAATAGACTTTTTCAGATACCCACTTCTTAGTGCTTCATAGCTCCAGGTTACATGATCTGGAGATAGTAAACTCTCAATCTGCATCCTCTAGGCCAATTCTCAGTCCAGGACTATAGAGCCCCATTCCTCCAGCACAGACAGAAGCTGTTCCACCACAGGAGAATGCTGTGGTTCTGAATCTGTTTTGCAAACTTCAGTGTGCAACAATATGCTCAGGAGATGGAGTGATGAGGATGAGGAGGAGGCTGGCAGCAGTGGGGGAAGGGTTTTTCCTGATCCCAGCTGATGATCAGCTTACACCCTAAAGCAGTGGTGGCGAACCTATAGCACGAGTGCTGCCGCCAAAAAAGCTCTGAAAGGTTCAGCATCGCTGCCCTAAAGCATAAGAATTCATATTCAGGGTAACTTTATCACAGTCAGAAGTTTAAATGTGCGCTCATTGGATGAAACAGCCAATCCTTTCTACATGCCGTTCACTTAGGAAGTATGATGCCTGGACTGTCAAACACTGTTTCCCTCCGGCCTCTTGGGCACAGCTCTCCCACCCTAGGCCCAGTGGGCAGCTATCTGGGTGAGCCGCCTTCTCTGCATGATGGTGGGGAAGGGAAGAGGAGGTTTGTGCGTGTGTATGTGTGTGTGTGTGTGTGTGTGTGTGTGTGTGTGTGTGTAGAGAGGGGACAGGAAGGAAGGAGGGAGGGTGTAGGGGAAGGGAACGCCAGGTGTTGCAGTGGGCGGCTACACAAACACGGGAAGAAAACAGACTCTGGGCAACTAACTCTAAGGTTCACTGCAACCCCAAGACTCAAAGCACTTGAGGGTCAGGGAGGCAAGGAGAGGAGGGGAAGAGGCTGTGGAGAGGGGTGCACCTGGGTATTCAGGCGCCCCTCATCTGAGCCAGCAGCACCCAGGGTTTCGCAGCACGGTGCCCGCTGAGGGATCCAAAGCCAGGAGACTCAATTAATCAAAGCGCTGCTGCTGACGGAGCACAGATGAAAGGGTTTCCAGGCTCGTCGGTGATATGCTTGGAGCCCTTCCATGCGGGTAACAGGAGAGGGGCCCTGGGAGGGTCCAGGTCTGCTGGTAGGCCAGGCCCCAGGAGGCGCTGCAGCCGGAGAGGGCGTGGCCTAGATGAGGGCGTGGCCTCTCTCATCCCCTCCCCCGCGGGGCGGGTCCGGCTCGCGATGCCACGCTGGGCGTGGCCGGCGGTCCTGAGGTCAAAGCGGGCGGCCGGTGCCGTGGACGCGCCCTGCCCGGCTGGCCGGGTCTTCGCGGCCGGCGCCCGGCTCCGGCGGGCTGCAGCGGGGCGCGGGGCCTCGGGTCCCTGACCCGCACCGGCCGGGCCCTGCGCCCGGCTCGCCTTTGTCCAGGCCTCGGCGCTGCCGCAGCCCCGGTGCAGCGCTGCGTTCCAGGAACTTTAGGCACCGCCGCGGGGTTCTTGGAAGACGTTGAGAGGAAAAGCAGCGTCTGGCGGCCTGTCCAAAGGCTCCTGAGCCACAGACGGCATTCGGCCAGGGCCCTGCTGCCCGGGAGGGGCAGGCAGTGACCGGGGCTTTCCATAAAAGCTCTGGATCCGCTCCTCTCCTACCTTCTGTCCTTAATTAGCGCCTCCTTCCTCCCTCCGAGCCCAGGGAACACGGAGGCAGGTGGGCCGCGGAGCGCGGCCGGCCTGGGGCTTCCGGCGGCCCGGGGTGGAGGGGGCGTCGCTATGGCAACGAGCTCTTCCCGTGGGAATCGGGGACTGGCGACGGTGGGCAGATTGGAAAAGGACCGTCTGAGTGCCAGCTGCGGCTCCGGGCGGGCGGGGCCAGGGAGGGGCTCTTGGGTGGGAGCGGGGCGGCCTGGGCAGCAGCCCCAAGCCCGCATCCTGAGTCACAGCGGGCCACGCATGCTGGACACGTGACGTGACGTACTTGCTGTCGCTGCCAGGGAGCAGATGTGTTTGCTGACTTGCTCTGAGTGGCCACTACCCAGTTTGGGCCTGGACAGGGGAGTGGGATAGGTGGGATCCTTCATGAGTCTGCCCTGGTGTCCTCGCCAGAGCACAGGGCTTTGAACGATGGAGTTTGGTGCTGGATGGCAGAGGACACTGATTTCTTTTTGCAGTCTCTTAAGCTCGAAATGTTTTTCAAGTCATACGTTATATTTTTTCCAGTTCAGAAAAGTACAGAAAAGAAGGAAATGAAAATAATCCACAGTTCCCAATCATTCCACCCAAGGGTAATCACTGTTGACATTTTGCGATCATTGTTTATTCTTCCTGTGCACAGGTAAGTATATAGATGTAAGTGGATTTATAAAATTGACGACACTACACGTATTCGGTCACTTGCATTTTCACTTGTCACAGACTTGGAAAATGAACAATTGATAGCATTATTTCTAATGGCAGCACAACAGGCCCATAATCTATTAACCAATTGCTGTTGCTGTAAACTTTCTTCCCAAAGTTTACTCTTGTAGGTGGTGATAAATTCTAAAATTAGAATTATTGAGTCAAAGGATATAGGCATTTAAAGTTTGTATATTTCTAGTATTTTGGGTTGTTGCATTTTTTTTAGGGATGAGTGGACTTTATTTTCTTTTCCATCTACTTTTGGAGTAATAGGGAAAGGCTTATTTTATATGTGTCATCTATCTACCTATCTATCATAAATTTTAGACCCCTCCTCTGACTCCCAGAACTAAAATCTGAAATTCGCATCTAGATTCGAGGAGTTTTTTACAGAGTCCTCCAGACAGTACTCTGGGCAGTGAAGTGGACACTACTGGGGACAAGTAGGGCAGAGTCTGGCTGGTGGCACTGAGAGACATGCTGAACACTCCTTGAAAGTGTCTGCCACTGCCCTCCGAGGAGCATTAACTCTCCTGGTCTTCTGACCTCTGTTGTCCCTTGGAAAATGTCCACAGGTAAATTCTGAAGCAGGCCAATGGGATGTGGCTGGAGCACCTGCGGCCCCGCTGCAAATGAATTACGACTCCTTCCCAAACCCACGCCAAGGAGTGAGGTTAATCTCAGGACAAAAGTGCATAATGGGTTAAGGTTTTTATTTGTCCCGCTGCCTTCCCTCCCTGTTCCCTAAATCATTTTGTGGTGCCAACTCCTGCTGCCCAGGATCCAAAGTGGTTTAACTCTTCAAGGCACAGCAGTGAAGTGCCTGATTTGAACAATTTTAATGTTACAAATAAAGTCTGCTACCCTTCCAGGCATCCTAACATTTAATGACAGGAACCAAAAGGGAGAGCAATTCTTAACTGTGGGACCTGTTAGGCACTGTGGCAGCTACATGGTTTTTTGGTATGAGGCACCTAAGCCTGAGGTTGTCCACCAGAGGAATTCTGTTGGTCCTTTTACCAATTTCTTACCACTCTTGCTTGGGGTTCTTTTTCCCTGTTGGAGTTGTGTGACCAGTAACAAGCTCCATTGCAGACTAAACAGAAAGAATAAAAGTGGGGGAAAACCTGATAAGTCAGCTTCTTGGCCTGTCCGGGGTTGGGAGATTATAGATATATAGGATAACAGAAAAGAGGGGGAGGAATAAGCTGATAGAGGGGAGGAATATTCATGTGTTTTCTGGGAATGGATGAAGTTTTCCCCAAATTCAAGTGCCGCCCCTTTTCAGTTCTTTCATTGTTCTTTCTGGTTGTCATCCTGGCAACCGACAGTTGCCATGGTGATGGGGGGTGTGTCATTTAGATGCAGATGGGATTATGATGAAGTTCCAGGCTGGCTGGCAGTTAAACTCTGGTAGTTATCTTGGATCCAGCTTGGTCCAGCTTCCTAACCTCTGGCCTCCAGGTGTCCTGTTTGCAAAGACAAATAGGAGAGGGCAAGGTACACCTTCAGCAGGTCAGGTAGACTCTGTGAGACCAGGGCAGGTTAGCACTTTCTGACCAGCAGCAGGAAGGGCATGGCCAGGTGAAAGCAAGTGGCTGGGGAGGAAAGAGGCCAGAGTGTTGGATCCCTCCCCAGGATGGCACTCAGAAAATGAAGGAGAGAGAGCAGGGCTGAGTTTGCTGCTGGAGGGAATGGGAACCAGATGAGCTGCTAAGGGAGACAGGAATGAGTTGGGTTGTTAAAAGGAACCAAGTGAGAGAAGAGAACGAAGCAGGATGTCATCTGGCTCTGGGCTACAAGATGCACTTTAATGACAGGCTCAGCCAAGTTCACCTCTCCTCTTCCTCCCTGGCCTTTCCATCTGAGTGTCTATTAGGGGTCTTCTTTGTTCCGTGAAATGCTGATGCTGCCTGGAGCTCTGTGCTGTGTTCTTTTCTCCAACTGAACACACACTCTAGGCATCAGTGACCCACTCCCCAGGCTGCACTGCCATCACACTCACGTGCTGCATGGCTGGCTGGCCCATCTCTTCCTTGGGAGCTCAGTTCCCACCTGATCCAGAAGTTGCCAGAAATTATAGTGACAGAAGGAGCCTTGGGGGAGACATTTATTCCCTTCAGCTGTGTGTTCTCTGGTTTTCTTCATAATGAACACAGGTATTCCCTATTAACTTGTGGGCTGTTTGAGGATGAGGCTTTGTGTGGCCTTTACTTTTCTGATTCTCCACATTCAGTGACCATCACACATTGGTGGCATTGACCGTGTAGTAGTTTCTCCACCAGGACCATTTGGGAAGTACCAGTTGGGACACTGTTCCTTCTGCAAGGCATCTTTATGGACACAGCTCCCTTCAACCATGCACAGTTGTTGGTCACCAGGTGGTCACCAGCTCCTCATCAGCCATGTGAGTTCTCAACCCCTTTAGTCTCTGGGCAATGGCTGGCACTGTTTCCAGTTCTGAAGCTTTATCTTCTCTTCACCTCCATAATGTCACAGTTTCTGATCATTTTCTGTCCAGGGAACCATTGCTTTTGTCTCCTACACATAGTTCTCCCCCAAGACTCCATCCTGCAGAGAAACATGAGGTAGTGGAAAGAATGCAGGCTTTGGAGCCAGAAGGGTCTGTGTTTGATTCTGGGCTGCATCATTTATTATTTGGGTGATCTCTCCAAGCCTCAATTTTCTCCACTGTAAAACACAGATAATTATGAGGTTGGAAGAAACTGCAGGTAAAGGGCCTGTTACAAAGCAATTGCTAAATGCATGGCAGTGATAGGTGAGCTTGTGTGACTGCCAAATGTTATGTGAATCCCTGTTCCCGCTGTCACCCTGGGGTGGAAGAGTGCCAGCTGTGCTTCTCCATCCTGGACTGCTCTCCTACATCTGGTCCTTGTCTTCACATATCTGCTAAGTGTTTCTACTTTTGATGTCCTGCCACAACCCCAGCAACAGCCTATACAAACCAACATTGTCATCCTTTTGTCTCCAGAGCTCCTCCTGCCAGCATTTCCACACTGTTATTTCCCAGATGCTGCAGCTTGAAGAGCTTGAAAGAGTCTTGAACCCAGTCAGCTCTGTGGCAATTTATAAACAACGATGATTATTGGTAGAATACCTACCTATGCATTTTCCACTTGCCCAACAGTACTTTGAAGGAGGCTGTCATGCAAACAAGACCCAGGGGTCAAAATTATGGCCTAAGGAGACCCTTGAACACAACTCAGCTCAAATACCAGGCTTGTTCTGTTTCTTGAATGTCTTTGGAGTGATAAGCTGATACTAAGTCACGTTCACTCAAGATGCTGAAGCCTCTCCATCCTGAAAGCAAGCCAGCAAGCCTTTCCCAATGAGTGCTGCAGCCTTGAGTCTTATCTCTTCTCCGCTGACAAATGGCTTATGAAACTTGTAGACCCCTGGCGTCTTCAGCTGTGTCCTCCTCTTTGGTTTATTAGGCACTGCAGTGTCCTTTGTATCCCATCACTGGACTGCATCCCATCAATGGATCAAGGTCGTTAGATGACAAGGATACTTTGTAGCCCCCTCCTATGTCAGCCCCATTTGACCCCACTGATCAGCTCCTCTACCTTACCACACTTTCCACCAGCTTCTCTTCTGAATTCCCTTGTACTCCGGCCATCTGCATTAATGTTGCTTCCTCAGACATCACTTGAATGCCAACCATTCTCAAGGTTTTGTTCTGTGCCACTATTTCTTTTCATACGACAAATTCTCCATGGTTACCTCAATTACTCTATGACTTCAGTTATCACCAATATGTTGGTGGTTCTTAAATAGCCTCACTCCCACACTAGATATTCTCCTTGGTTTAAAATCTTCATGTCCTGCAGATTCTGACTCCATCCCCCACTTACTTGCAAGGTGACTGTGAGGATTGACATTGTGTGTCAGTGTGATTGGGACACGAAGTGGCCAGGTGTTTGTTCAATCATTATTCTGGGTCTGTGTGTAAGAGCGTTTCTGGGTGAGAGTAGCATCACCACTAAAAATGCAAGTACATGTTTTAGCTCGTTGGGCAGGGCTCAACTCCAGAGCCTTTATCCCTAGAATTTACTATAGAGAGTATTCTTGAAACCATGCTTCCTAAAATCAGAGTGCGAGCCTGCATTGGGATGCTTGTGATTTGAGTACTCTTAGGAGACAGGAAATAGGAGAACCAGGATGGGGAAGGACCTGTGCAGGGAGATGATGGCAGTAAGTGTCCAGACACAGTTTGATTTCCCGGCAGCTTGGAGACATCACAGCATTGGCCCCAGCTTGTTGCAAGGCGCCAGCCTTTTGTAGTCTTCTGCCAACTGGTAACTAACTGTAGCTTTTGCATGGGGTGAGAGTATACTCTTCTGCCAAGGCAACTCCTGGCTTCTGCTGGCCGAGGACAGAAGTCCTGTGGTGGCTGATGGATGGGTGTGCTGGCCTGTTCAGTGATCTGGGCAGGACATTGATATATATATATTATTTTATTTACTGTTTACTATTTTTGTGGTCACTGTCTGAGTTGACATAATCCCCCTCTGTTTTCTGTGTTACTGCAACATCTCCGAGCTAACATACTGGCTTGTACCCACAAGGCAGCCAAGGTATTCTTTCTAGTATGCTGATCTTTTCCTGTCACTTCCTCTACCGGCTCTTCTGTGGTTCATGTGGCGATTCCCAGTTGCTTCCAGTTGCCGCAATGAACCTGCATGACCACAGTGTCACTCATCTTTCTTGGATCCCCTCTTAGCACTTGCGCCTCAAAGGGCTGCTACGAGGGGAGGGCTTCCTTTAACCACTTGAATGTACTAACCCATGTCTCGACTCTTAAATGTCCCTGCCAAAGTGTGTCACAGATCCAGTGAATGCTGCTGCCCAGTCCTTCCAGGGGGCCCTCATTCACCCTACTCACCAGATCTGTGCAACTCTGGTTCTTCCCTAGGGTCACGATCTCATGACAGCTAAACGTTTTGAATCAATTGAAGACATCAAGGCAACCACAACAGCAAAACTAAAGCCATGAAAAGAAAAAAGGAGGCAATTGTGATGGGCTACAGGTGTTTGAAGTGAGGGGGCAGTTTGAGGAGGAATGAATGGCCGTGTGTCTTTACCATAATATATTTTTAAAAATGTAAATACACACTGTATTTTTCAGTCACACGTTTATGGCTTTGTGTGTATTTTTCCTTTGCCTGCGACACCGTGTTCACCTCTCACCTAGGGACTCTATCTGCCTAGCCATCATCACCTGCCCCTGAGAAACCTTTATTTTAATATCTATACTCATAATGTCTTGTATTTCCCATCATTTCACTAAGAACACGGCAGAATATTCGTCTGTTTAGTTGCTCATCTCCTCACTACAGTGATGTTTCTCTCCTTCTCTTTCTACCTCCTCCTTTCTCCCTTTCCATCCTTCTGGCTCATTCCCCACATATTTTAAGACAAGCTTCCTTCCACTTTCTCTCCTCTAGTAGTGTGTGGGATTTCACCGGATTTCTACTCTGTAATATCTTGACCTTACAGTAACAAGGACTTACTTATCACTGTATTACCATACTGAGGTATGGATAGAGCTCAGTGGATGTTTTTATATGAACTAATAAGTGAACAAAAACATCCCATCTCCTTTTTCCTTGCTTCTCTAGATTCCAGCATCTGCAACTGTGCTTTGCATATAGTAAATGATTAATATTGATTGATTGTTTTGAGATCCTAGGGATTTAACCCAGGGCCTTACATCTGTTGGGAAAGTGATCTACCATGCAGTCACACTTGAAGCTTCGGTAAATATTTATTGAATTCAACCTGATGAATTTAGAATTTTACAATTTTTTTTTCCATTTGTGTGATATTTTTTCTCCTTTCAAGGTCCAGAGTCATGTAGTGGAGAATATCATTGGCAAATATCCAACTAGGAATCTCCCAAGTTCTCAACATTTCCCCCAGTAGTACCGTTTTAAAAAGTCAAAAAACAAACTTGGCAACTGTCATAAACCAACTTTGTAGAAGCTCTGGAAAACAGCCAAAAGTTTAGAGCAATAGTCAAATGCCTAGTGAAGGAAAAGCTATCTTTCAAATGGAAGGAAAGTTGTGGGGTCTTTACTGACCTTGGCTCCATCTCCCTGTCCCTCATAGTAGTGACTTTTAGTCTTGAGCAGATAACAGCACAGTTCCCAGTACCCACCTTACTCAGAGGAAGTTGAGCATCCCTGCTTGGAAGTCATTGTGCATATCTGTCCTAAAAGTCTTGAGACACCTGAAAAACCGATGTAAAGTGTTAGTCCCTGTTCCATAGAACTCAGAATGTAGGTGGGAAATCAGTAAACATGAATGGTAAAAGCTAGGGGGCAACCACAAGCCAGAGCTAACTGGGGAAAGAGATTCTAGGAGGAGGCATTCATTAGACCATCCAAGATTGGAAAGAGAAGCTGAGGTTAGACTGTGGGAAATGAGAACATTGAAAGTTAATCATGTATACCTAGAAAGTTGGCAACTCATGCCCAGGAAAGATTCTTGTTTAGAACAATTCTGAGAATACTTTACACCTTCATTGCAGGCAGTGTGCTAGATGCAAAGAAAGTCTAAGTATTTGTATGTCTCCAGCACAGGGCAATCTGCAAAAACCAGGAGAGATAGATGGCCCCTCTTTTGGTTTCATATTTTGGATGCTGTGTGTTTGTTTTGCCTCTTGTCATTCAGGAAGCTGAAGAATAGCAGAAAAATGCATAGTATTTGCAAAAAGTGTCTGGAAATTTTTTTAAACAAATGTACAACTACAATCTTTAAAAGCAACAATGAGTAAGAAGACAAGCAGAAAATACGGAAATTTTGATAAATTTGTTTTTAGAGTACTACGTTGCAATAGTCAATGCCCAGTTAAGCAGTCACAAGACATTCAAGTAACCATGTGGTTCTGTTAAAGAATATTAACTGACAGAAGCTGTCCTTGAAGAGACCCAGACCTCAGAAGCCCCATACTAGCACCTTAAAACTATTGTCTTAACATGCTGAAAGAGCTAAGAGAAAACATAGGTAAAGGACTAAGTGAAATTAGGAAAATAATACATGAATAAAATAAAGAAATACATTATAAAAAAGGAATCAAACATTCTGGAGTTGAAAAGCATAATGACTAAAATGAAAAGTTCACGAAAAAGTGCAACAGGAGAGTAGAGCAGGCAGAAGGAGGAACAGCAACCCAAAGTGTTGAGATCAAAAAACAGGACCAAATATGAAAATAAATAGAGCATAGAAAACTTCGAGAACATCATCTAATGAGCCAACTTATGCATTAAGGAAGTTATAAGGCAGAGAAGTAAAAGTCTAAGAATTATTTGGAGAAATAATGGCTCAACACTTCAAATTTGAGGAAAGACATGAATCTTCAAACCCAAAAATTTAGGAAGGATAGCACAAAGAAACTTATGTGAAAACCCACTGTGATTGTCAAAGGGCAAAGACAAAGAATCTCAAAGGTAGCAAGAGAAAAATAACTTGTCATGTATTTGGGATCCTCAGATGAACATCTGATTTTTCATAAGAAGCCATGGAAGGCAAAATGTAATTCTATGACATTTATTAAATGTTGAAAGAAAAAAAAACCTGTCAAATGAGAATTTTATATCTGGCAACACTTTACTCATAAGAAAATAATAATTGTGGCTATATAACCAGATTAATTGTCCTGAAGTATGGCTTTGATACTGCTGTTATCCTACTATGATGTTTAAATATTTTTTCATTGCCTACAAGGTGAAATATAAATTATTTCCAGTTCATAATCCGATTTAAGTTCACCCAACACCACCCAGTACTGCAGCAGATGCCTCCATGTTCCTTTCCCTCTCCCACATGCCTGCTATAATCATAATGTAGCCTCCCACGCAATTTTGGACTCTATTTCTCTTAGGATGATCTCTCAAATCTTCCTACTGTTGATAGGTAATTTCTTACCATGATCAGAAAAATTGCAGTCTCTCTGTGGCTTTGTGGTTTGGCCAAAGCCTTCATACATTTCAGGCTCTCACCTTTATTTATTTTTATTTTAAAGAGAAAAAAATAGAACAAAGCAGATCAGAACAAAACAATGCAATCACAGGATTTCAAAACAAGACAACAGGAAATCAACAGTGGTTACCATAATGTCTCTTGTTTTCTTCAAAATAGGTGTTCATATCTTTACACACAATGAATTCCAACAAGACAAAAATGGTATAAAACCATTCAAAATGAAAGAATGAAAGCATTTCAGGTCTTCAAGAGAAGACAATAGGAAAATTAACAATGACTACTGTAATGTGTCTTGTTCTCTTCTAAATAGCTTTCCATATCTTCATGTATGTTGAAATTAATACAAAACAGACTAAAACCACTCTGAACAAGGAATAAAAGCATTACTGGACTTCACAACAAGATGATAGGAAATCAGCAATGGTTACCATAAATGTCGTGTTTTCTTCAAAGTGGCTGTTCATATCATCACATGCAATAAAATCAGTTCTTACAAACTCTTTGGGACAAGTTCTAGGCATATATAAGCCTATATATGTACATCTATCCTTTCTGTATTAGAAGGAAGAACAAAACAAAAAACAGACAAGAATCACAAGAAACAAAAGAGACAAATAACAATAACAAAGATCCCAAAACAATGAAAATACAGGCTTTCAAAACAAGGTGATAGGAACAAAACTAAGGTTGTTACTTTGCGTAGTTATCTTCAAAAGAGTTACTCAGACTACAGGCAAAACTGATCTAGTTCTATAAATGTTAACTATTTTGTTCTGCAAAACTGATCTAGTTCTATAAATGTTAACTATTTTGTTCTGAGAACTAATAAAATTAGTAGCACAATCATCTTAACTATCTTAAGTGTATATATACAAGTTTATATTTTTTTCTTTTCCCTTCTTTCTTTTTTCCTTTTCCCTGAGTTATTTTTTCCCCTCTGAGCAATTTATTATCCTTTCACAATATTTATGGAAGATTTTGTATCTTATTTACTTTTTCAGTTTCTTATATTAGGGAGATAATATGGTATTTACACATGTGAGTTTGATTTATTTCACTTATGAGTATGGTCTGAAGTTACATCCATTTACTTATAAAAGCCTCAATGTGATCCTTCTTTACAGCTGAGTAGTACTCTATTGTATAAAAATACCACAACTTTTTTATCCATTGCTCAGTTGATGGACACTTAGGCTGTTTCCAAGATTTGGCTATTACAAATTGTGCTATTATAAACATGGGTGCACATATATCGCTGTGATATGATGGTTTCAATTCTTCTGGGAATATGCCCAGAAGTGGAATAGCTGGGTTAAATGGCTTTTTGAGGAACCTCCAGACTGACCTCCACAGTGATTGCACCAGTCTGCACTCCCACCAACAGTGTACAAGAGTTCCTTTTTCCCTGCAGCCTCTCCAGCATTTGTCATTGGTGGTTTTCTTTATCCTGGCCATTCTTTCTGGAATGAGACAGAATCTCAGTGTGATTTTAATTTGCATTTCTCTAGTAACCAATGAAGTTGAACATTTTTTCATGTATTTGTTTGCCTTTGTATTTCTTCAGCTAAGAAGTATATATTCATTTCAAATGCCTATTTTTGGATTGGGTCTTTGAATTTTGGGAGGTCTGATTTTTAAAAATTCTTTAAGTGTTCTAGACAGAATTCCTGTGTCTGAGGGATAGTTGACTAAGTTTTTTCCCCCAATTTATGAGTTTTCTTTTCATTCTGTTGGAGATTTCTTTCGACATGCAGAAACTTTTTATTTATTTATTTAGTCTTTTTCCTTTTTATCGGTACCGGGGATCGAACTCACGACTGCCTGCTTTCGAGGCAGGCGCTTATGCCGCTGAGCTAAATCCCCAACCCCTGCAGAAATTTTTTAATAAGACATGATCCCAGTTATTGATTCTGGGAAGTATTTCCTGTGCAGTTCAATTTTTGTTCTTGAATTCTCTGTCCGCCTTGGTGATATTTGATTTTCTTTCTTTCTTTGCAAAGTCCTTGAAGAACAGCTGTATAAGGACCCTAAGGCTGGATTGCACTGATTCAGAATCTTCCCAAAGAATTTGGAAGTTTGTCTCAAGACCCAACTCAGAAAATGTTGGCCATTGGTGTTCTGAGGCAGGGCAAGGAGGTGTAGGGTCA